CTACTTCCGTAGTGATACTGCCTCGGAAACCCAAGGAGGGGTCGCTATGAGTCGGGGCCCACTCGACGGCACATAACAACAACAATTAGATAATAACATTTTATTTATCCATTCCCCGCTTGATAGACATTTAGGCTGTTTCGTCTTTTAGCTGTTGTCCACAGTGCTGCAGTGAACTTTGGTGTACAAGTATCTGCTTTCCTGTTTCAATTCTTGGAGTATATACCTAGGTATGGAATTGCTAAATCATATTGTAAGTCTATGTTTAACTTTTGTAACCACCAAACTCTTTTGCATGGTGGTTGTACCATTTTACAATCCTATCAGCAATGATGAGGAGTCTAATTTCTCCATATCCTTACAAACACTTGTTGTTTCCTGTTTGGTTTTCTGTTACTTTCTTTTATACAGCCTATGGTAAAATTTTTCACATAAACATTAAATCTTCCCTCACCCGCATACCGATTAAGAAACTGATTCTCAAACTTCAATTGAAATAAAGGTCTTGCTTAGAATTAGCATGATAATGGACTTCATAACAAAACAGCCTCAAATTCAGGGTTCTATATTTGGATCTTGGGAGTACTGGTGGTATAGTGCCTAAGGCATTCGACTGCTAACAGAAGGCTGGTGGTTCAAACCCACCAGCCACTCCTTGGAAGACTGGGCAATCTACTTCCATAGAGATAACACCTTGGAAACCCAAGGAAGGGTAGCTGTGGGTTGGGATCAACTGGATGGCAGTGAGTTTGGGTTTTTTATTTTTCACTGAGGACAGTAAATCCCAACTTGGATTGTCTTTTGACAGATTTTCAGACTTAAGTGATAATACTTGCTCAGAGTAGCTTTTCAATAGATAGTTCTGGAATAAATTTTCAGTAAATGGCAATTCTTACTACATATTTGTGACCAGCAGTCCATGGTATACTATGCTTATCGTCCTGCCTGCCACTCCACTGAAAGAGAAAACTTAATGGACAGGAATCTTCTTTTGTCTCTCCTTCCTCTGATTTCCCTTAGAAATTTGGCCCTTTGGAAAGAGTTAGACATTAATACTTACTATCCCATCCCTAGATTCAAAAAAGGACTGATACCAGTAATTGACCCAAATTCAACAGCATAACACATGGCTATGCATTAATAAAGTTGATTTCCTGTATATGATAAGGAGCCCTGGTGGCACAGTAGTTAAGTGCTTGTCTGCTAACCAGAAGGCTGGCGGTTGGAACCTTCCAGCCACTCTGTGGGAGAAAGATATGGCAATCTGCTTTGGTAAAGATTCCAACCAAACCAAACTCACTGCCGACGAGTCCATTCCAACTCATAGAGAACCCCCCCCCCCGCTGGTTTTCCAAGGCCATAAATATTTATGGAAGTAGATTGCCACATCTTCCCTGGTGGGTTTGAACCACCAACCTTCTGGTTAGCAGTTAAATGCCTTAGGCATTGCACCACCAGGGCTTCTTTTGGTAAAAATTACAGCTTTGGAAACCCTATTGGGCAGTTCTACTTCATCCTTATAGGGTCGCTATGAGTTAGAATTAACTTCATGGCAAAGAGTTTCTCTGTGTGACATGCTTAGGTTTGTTCAATGTCTAGTTTCTTCCTCAGGCAGACTAAACTATTCCTGGGCTCCACAGAGTGAATCAGGACCTCCATGATTACTTCAAGGGCAGTAGCCACAGTCGCCAGATCCCCGAAGTCTTTGATTCTTTGTTTTCTGATTTTTTTAAAAAATTATGCCTGCAGCCTAATGCTGATTCTCAGATGATTATAGCTACTGAGGAAAGAGAAAGAAAAAGCCAACATTAGCACAGGTTGTGACAAGTTTGAAAAATACTAAGAATACCATGGTTCCTAGTATGTAACTTGAGAATGTAGTTATTTTCATTTGGTTACCAAATATAGCTTCACCTTCCTAAATCTCACTGAAGGCTACACTACATTCATTTGGGGAACATTCAGGAAAGCTTTCTGCTTCCTATTTTAAAACTCCATGCTTGACTGTGGGTGTAAACATAACCAAAGGTTTATTTTTCCCTAAATTATTTTCTGGTGTTGGAACTAGTTCAGGTGAATAATATAAGAAGAACTTTTTCTTCCCTTCAGTTTTCTACCTTCACTTTTATTTCCAAAAGAGAAAAAAAGTGAAAATTACTCAGAATACTAATTGTTTTTATTTTTTAGCATCTTTACTACTGTATGAACATAGATGTGTGAATACTTTTAAACCGTTAATAAATGTTTCTTAACTATGTGTTGTCAATTTTTCACGTAGTGAAGAAAATAACCTATGCGTAAAAGAATCAAATTAATTTCTTTCATTATGAATCATACAGGAGCTCTGGTAGCATAGTGCCTAAGGCACTTGACAGCTAACCAGAAGGCTGGCAGTTCAAAACCACCAGCCACTCCTCGGAAAGAAGATTGGGCAATTCTACTTCTGTAGTGATACTGCCTCAGAAACCCAAGGAGGAGTCGCTATGAGTAGGGGCCGACTCGACAGCACACAACAACAACGTGAATCATACAGGTAGAATACAAAGATAATAACTAACCGGATGTACCATACACTTTAAAATACTCTTCCTTATATTTCACTGCCATATAATAAAAACTCAACTCACTGCCATCAAGTCGATTGCAACTCACAGCAACACCCTTTGGGTTTCTGAGGCAGTAAATCTTTATGGAGTGGCTGGTAGGTTTGAACCACCAACCTTCTGGTTAGCAGTCAAATGCCTTGGGCGCTACGCCACTAGAGCTCCTTTCCTATATGTATATGTTGTTGTTGTTGTTGTTTGTATATGTAGTAAATGTGTTACAAATCACACCTTGGGCAGCCCAGACTGAGAAAAATCAGTGTTACAGGAAAAAGTTACAAGCTCCTCAGATTCTAAAATGCTAAAGTGTCTTTTCCTTAGTGGTCTCAAAGGAAAAAGAAAGTAACAGCAGCTTTTAAAGTTATCTCAGTCACCTCTTGTCCTGACCCTCTAAAATTAGAATCCAAATACCATCAACATTAAATAGTCTATTTTTTATTTAAACGTTACTAGGATTGTAGTGGAATTACAATTTATGTTTTTTGTTAAAACATAAACAAGTTTCTTAGACTATTTCCATGATTTCAAAAGAGGTAAACTTGTAAAACTTTTATGATTGAAGCTGAATTTATAAATAGTTTTCCACCAGCTCTTGCTTATGAGGCTACAGTTAACACCTTATTATTAATCATGTTAGCTGACTGTCAATCACATGGCCATACTCCAGTGAATGAGTTTCTTGAGTTCCTGTTTGGAAGGCATGAGGTTGAGGAATAAAAAGAGGGACTAAATATCATACTTCCGTTAGTAGGTTATTCAGAATTCCAAGCACAGCTGATAAATTTAAAACTTTCTAGCTGCATTCTTTTATTGACTTAGATACACAGTGTACACATGGCTTCAAGAGTTTGCATATAGTTATTTTTCTCAAGAGCTGATTTTTTTTTTTCTCTTTTAAGCTTGTATTATTTCTTTAATACAAAAGTCATATACATTTAGTACAGAAAGACAGGTATTGCAGCCAGGCAAGCGAAATTAACAAAACAAACAAATATATATATATTTTAGGCATATGAGCACATACAGTAAATTGGATCATACTGTGTGTAATCTGGGAGCCCTGATAGCGTAGTGCCTAAGGCACCTGACTGCTAACCAGAAGACTGGCGGTTCAAACCCGCCAGCCACTCCTTGGAAAGAAGGTTGGGCAATCTACTTCCGTAGCAATATTGCCTCAGAAACCCAAGGAGGAGTCACTATGGGTCGGGTCCAACTCGATGGATGGCACGTAACAACAACAACATGTGTAATCTGACTTTTCACTTAACACTATAACATGAACATTTCCCCTCTCAATAAATATCTGCCTCATTAGTCTCCAAGGCTGTATGGCAAGACTGGAACATGATTTGTTTAAATAATCCTCTTGTTGTTAGGTGTACAAAAATTTCCTCAATTTCTGACCACAGAAACATTACTGTTTTAATCATCCATTTCATGCAGGGTTGATGAATTCTGATCCTGAGGGACTACAGTGCTTTTCCCTATAAACATCCCACTTCCTGGCTATTGAGACTTTCTTCTCGCAAAGCCTGACCAAGTAAGCGACTGGCCGGGCTCCTGGGCCCGGGAATGCTGCCGCTGCTGCCATTAATAGCTGTGTGAACAGTCCATCTATGGGCAACAGGCCGCTGCCAGTACCTGCCTGTTTTCTTACTTAGGCTCATGCTTCCCAGACTGACCCTGAAACTCATATTCTCACGATAATATGATGAGAGATTCCCAGGTGGGAGAGAACCTCCAGAGTTCTAGGAGAGTGAATAAAAACAAAATGTCTTCTCCAAAAGTTGTGCTGGATTTAGCTGGAACTAAGAAATGACAAGGAGCTCTGGTAGCATAGTGGCTAAAGCGCTTGACTGCTAACCAGAAGGCTGGCGGTTCAAACCCACCAGCCACTCCTCGGAAGGAAGGTTGGGCAATCTACTTCCGTAGTGATACTGCCTCGGAAACCCAAGGAGGGGTCGCTATGAGGCGAGGCTGACTCGACAGCACACAACAACAACAAGAAATGACAGCCAGCTCCTAGCAGCAGTCAGGCCTGCCCTGGGACCTATTTGGGCTGCTCATCAGGAATGTTTATAAAGACCTGCGGGGTGTTGGGTGGGACTGTTGTTGTTATGTGCCATCGAGTTAGCCCCCCGACTCATAGTGAGCCCTCCTTGGGTTGCTGAGGCAGTATCACTACAGAAGTAGATTGCCCAGTCTTCCTTCCGAGGAGTGGCTGCTGGGTTTGAACCGCCAGCCTTCTGGTTAGCAGTCAAGTGCCTTGGGCACTATGCCACCAGAGCTCCTTGGGTGGGACTGGTGGGACTGGTAACTAGCAAAAACCCTAGCTTCATCTGCAACAGAAAGTGGAAGTGAAACTAGGATCTTCTCTAAAACTGAGCAGAGCTTACCTTAGACAGAGGGAAAAAAGCCTTTCAAGTAAGGGAATTTTTTTTTCCCACATTAAATTACCATTGAAAGTTGGCAGATTCCTGTCATTCTGAAATGGCCATATCTCCTGGTGTTCATGGCAGTGGTGTTGATGCTGGTCATACTGCCTACCCTTGAGCTGAAGGCCCTGTCCCTAGAACCCCAGTATCCCTCTCAGAATAGGAAAAAACACCTGGGAGGCCAGATAGCTTAAGTCAGGCTTGTCTCCTCTGGAGGGCGGCCTTGGAGCCTGAAAGTCTATGCTAAACAGACTCATTGTCCGCTGACTCAAAGTAATGAGCATATAGTTTAAAACTCCTACAGCAACAGTGGAGTTTCCTGGAATTTAGCCCCATGTCATTTACAGATGCTCCAAGAAAAACCCCCACCTAAACACCCCTACGTTTGTGCACGCTTTTCTCCTGACTCTTAAGAATCATCCTATAGTGAGAAATTTGCCTGCGATAGGGTTACCAACCAATCCTTTGAAATAGTAAAACTCGAGGTGGGGTGGGGGGGGAGCCATTGTGCCCAGGCTCCCAGCAATCAGGAAGTCTGGCGCGCGCGGGGTAGCCTCGGGGGCGAGCGCCGAGCTCTGCTCTTCAGCTTTAGGCCGGGGCGGGCGGACGAGTGGCAGGCCCAGAGGCCCCAGTCCCCGGCTCACTGGCAGGCACTTGTCACCCTCTGTCCCGGGCCTGGGCGTTGTCGGAGGCTGCTGGGAGCCCGGGAAGGGCGGAGGAGGAGCGGGGCGTGGGTGGGCCGGTGACTCAGCCGGAGCGCCGGGGCGGGGGCGCATAGGGAGGTGAGCTCAGGCAGTTTGGGGTTAAGTGGGTGGTGCTGCCGAGGCCCCGCCCCGCCGCCCCCGCCCGCTCCAGGCCGTATTTAGCGCGGCGGCGCGGGACGCGCAAGCGTCTCTCCGCAGGCCCCGGCCGCGGTCTCCGTGCAGCGTAGGCGTCATGGAGCGGCCGGCGCCTCTGGCCGTGCTACCCTTCTCAGATCCCGCGCACGCCCTGAGCTTGCTGCGCGGCCTGAGCCAGCTACGCGCCGAGCGCAAGTTCCTGGACGTGACCCTGGAGGCGGCGGGTGGGCGCGACTTCCCGGCGCACCGGGCCGTGCTGGCAGCCGCCAGCCCCTACTTCCGCGCCATGTTCGCGGGGCAGCTGCGCGAAAGCCGCGCCGAGCGGGTGCGGTTGCACGGAGTGCCTCCCGACATGCTGCAGCTGCTGCTTGACTTCAGCTACACCGGCCGCGTGGCAGTGAGCGGCGACAACGCGGAGCCGCTGCTGCGTGCCGCCGACCTGCTGCAGTTCCCGGCCGTGAAGGAGGCGTGCGGCGCCTTCCTGCAGCAGCAGCTCGACCTGGCCAACTGCCTGGACATGCAGGACTTCGCTGAGGCCTTCAGCTGCGCGGGGCTGGCGAGCGCAGCGCAACGCTTCATCCTGCGCCACGTGGGCGAGCTGGGCGCGGAGCAGCTGGAGAGGCTGCCGCTGGCGCGCCTGCTGCGCTACCTGCGAGACGACGGGCTGTGCGTTCCCAAGGAGGAAGCCGCCTACCAGCTGGCGCTGCGCTGGGTGCGGGCAGACCCGCCGCGACGTGCAGCTCACTGGCCGCAGCTGCTCGAGGCCGTGCGCTTGCCCTTCGTGCGCCGCTTCTACCTGCTTGCTCACGTCGAGGCCGAGCCGCTGGTGGCGCGCTGCCCGCCTTGCCTGCGCCTGCTACGCGAGGCGCGCGACTTCCAGGCAGCTCGCTATGACCGCCACGACCGCGGGCCCTGTCCCCGCATGCGTCCGCGTCCCTCCACTGGCCTTGCCGAGATCCTCGTGCTTGTGGGCGGCTGCGACCAGGACTGCGACGAACTGGTCACCGTCGACTGCTATAACCCGCAGACGGGCCAGTGGCGCTACCTGGCCGAGTTTCCGGACCACCTGGGTGGGGGCTACAGCATCGTGGCGCTGGGCAACGACATTTATGTTACGGGTGAGTGACGGGCACTGACTAATCCCGGGTTCCCCTCCAAGTCCCCGAAGAGGCAGGGGTCCCAGGGGTTGGACGCCTTGGCCTCTGGGAGAGGACATCTACCTGGAGGAGAAACCTACAGAACCTGATTCCCCGCGGAACCACACCTGAGTCCAGGTGGCCACTTCTCCCTGCCCCGCCCCCAAGCAAGGCTGGCAGACGGGTAACCGTGACGTCTTCTAGGACTGATACTTCCAACCAGCAGAAAGGGCCCAGTGTGAGCCAGGACAAGTAGTTGCTTGTGGGCCTCTGTTCTCTGTCCAGCTGGGTCCACCTGGGTGAACCCGATCCCTGCCAGGAGATGCTCCCCTGTTGGGTCGGAAAGTCCTAGGGCATTTACGCCATACAATGGATGCTTTCTTTCTCTCGCTGAGGAATCCAGGGACAGATCCAAGGCTGATGCCCTGTGAGACACCCATCCACCCTTTCACAGGGATTTCTCCCTCACTCAGGGCCACATGGGCCTCTTGACTCACTAATTTGTCACTCGTCACCAGGTTCTCTCAGGTGGGGCACCTACACCTAGGATCTGTGCTTGGTGTTTAGGTTAAGCTCCTTAGATTGTAAACATAGTCACATGCGTCTAGGTTTTCTTCCAGTTACTTGGCCCAAACCCCAAAACACTGCCGAGTCATGGTGGGCGGGTCCCAGCTTGCTTGTCCTGGACTCTCCCATATTTTTTTGCTTAAGGATGAATCCCTTTTGGACATGAGTCTACCTACCCTGGTATGAGGAGGGACAGTCTGACCACTTTATAAGGACAGAACCTAGTGGAGTCAGGTTTTGGTGGTCCTGTTACCAAGCAGGGGATATTCAGAGTTGAATAACTCCCAACTCACTGTTACCCCCTGTGCCCAGCCAGGCACATTGGGAGGAAACTTCCCTCTGGAACAAATGTTCTGGTGCTCTGGGGGGCTTTGAGCTAGCCAGTGGGGGTGCAGCCCAGGCAGAGGAATGTTCAGCTCTCTGGGCACAGTTCTGTGGGGTGCAGAGGGGTTCCAGCTGCTGCCAGAATCTATCCCTCTTTCCAGTCTGAGGTTTCCCCGGTGTTGGTTGGCAACCTTGGCGCCTCTGACGTCTGGCCAATGACTGAGCAGAGAACTCATTTCCAGAACTGGCCAGCCTAGCCCCCGCTTCTTCATACCCTTCCATAAATGTCACAGCTGAGCAGTTAATCCGGGGTTTAGGCAAGTGCCCTGGTCACCCTACAGCTGTTTGTAGGGAATTCCATAGGATAAGAAAGCGACTGCAGCTGCCTTTGACACCCTTCTCAAAGGGAAGAAGGCCGGCAGAGCTAACTTAAACAAGTGTTAGACCTTTATCTTCTCCCTTTCAGAGCCCAGGGTGCTAGAAGGCTAGAATGTCCTCCTGCTCTGCCCAGTGGCGCCAGCCTCAGAAAGGAGTAATGTAGCTCCCGGGATTCCTGGAGTCATGGAGATTTTGGTGTCTTGAAAACAGTTGCTGTCGGGTCAACTCCCGACTCACTGTGACTCGTGTATGTCAGAGTAGAACTGTGCTCTGTAGGGTGTTTAGTGGCTGAATTTTTTTATTTTTTTATTTTTTTGAGATAGATTGGCAGGCTTTTCTTCTGTGGTGCCTCTGGGTAGATGCAATCCTCCAACCTTTTGGTTAGCAGTGAGTCCGTTAGTAATTGTCTGTACCATCCAGGGATTCTGGTGTCCTGAGTGTTGTTGTTGTTGTTGTTATGTGCCTTCGAGTCAGCCCTGACTCATAGCGACCCCTCCTTGGGTTTCCGAGGCAGTATCACTACGGAAGTAGGATTGCCCAACCTTCCTTCCGAGGAGTGGCTGGTGGGTTTGAACCGCCAGCCGTCTGGTTAGCAGGCAAGTGTCTTACAAGTGTCTTAGCCACTATGCTACCAGAGCTCCCGGTGTCCTGAGTAGACCTCGGGTTTTCCTTTATGATACACCCAGCACCACTTTTTTTTTTTTTTTTTATAGCTCTTTATTGAAATAAGAAGGGATACTGGTGGCACAATGCTTAAGCACTCAGCTGCCAACCAAAAGGCTGGCGATTTAAACCCACCTGATGGCTCTGTGGAAGAAAGATGTGGCAATCTGCTTCTGTAAACATTACAGCCTAGGAATCCCTGTGGGGCAGTTCTACTCAGTCACGTGGGATCACTATGAGTCAGTTGACTCAACAGCACCTACCAACAACACAACATTGGAAGAGAAGATTCATACAGAAGGATACACAGAACACTGGTACAAAGTATATATGTTCTTACAAATAGAACACGCCTCTGTTACCTGTCCTACAAGTCCTCTTTGGAACATTACTGTCAGATGATTAAGTCTCTTGTACAGCCTGGGTCAAGCCTGCCAGAAAGCCTAGGACTGGGTGAGCATTTCCCTCCCAACAGCACTTCACACTGGCTCCCAAGAGCTGTGATCCACGACCTGGTATCCCATTCAGTTGAGGGGTACTTGACAGTGTATCTGGGATTGAGGCTCTTGGACTTTGGTCTGGCTAGTATGGGTGTGGCACTGCAAAAAAGGATGTGGAGGTGGCATTTTCTGACCTCCTCTAACTTCATAAGGGGGAGACAGAATCACCATCAACAGCCCAAGCCCAATGCTGATTCCTGTAAGGCCAGACATGCCACCACACTCCAGCCTTTTTTGCAATCCTGACACCAGCCATCCCTCCCATGACACTCCTCTGCTGAGTTCAGTAATTCATTGCAATGGCCACACAGAACTCACAGACAATATTCACGATTTTGGGGTTTATTAGGGAAATAACAGGTTACAAATCAAGTTCAGGAACACTCTTAGGATACAACTTAATCAGGACAGTCTCCTCTCTGCTGTGCCCTCAGACATGCCTCTCTGGCCCTGGACTTCTTGGCCTGGCCTCTGCCCAGCTCAGATAAGGAGTACAAAACTCTTTTAGCTCTGCTGATAGGTACACCTATGTGCACCTCAGTGCACCAGCAAGCCTCCTTCCCAGAAGCACTCAGCTTTCTCACTCCTTGGGCTGGCAAGCCAGCAACTCTTGCCTCTTGGTTCCTCAGCCGGTCATCTCTGCCAATCCAGCTGTCTTTCTGCCAAGGAAATCCAACGCAGGAATCTTGGGTCCAAGGATACATTCTACTCCACCTCTGCTGGTCTCTCTTGATGGCAGTGAGATCCCCCCTTTCTGCTTCTAGGAAGACTCATTTTAAGCCTAGCAGAATGACAAAAGTGACCAGTCTCCACATTAAAGTTCCATACATCTTATTTGCATGGTCCCACCCAGTAATCTGGTGGAAATCACAAAAACCAGTTAGAAAAGCCATACCAAGTAATTCACCACAGGCACAAAACAGGCCATTGTTTTATGGGGTGAAGTTTGGTCTTATTCCCTGGCCTGTGGTCAGTATACATTACCTTAGCCTCAGCTGGGCTGAGCTCAAGGGGAAGAGAGGATAAGTCTTGGACATGTGTTGAGGTTGAAGTTCAGTGCGGTTAGTTACTCCCCGGGGTAAGGCCCCGTGGAAGTTTAGGAAGAATTCGGGGGGACTCACTCAGATCAGGTGGGCATTAGCTGACTCTTTCCACTATGTGCGTCGCAGGTGGGTCTGACGGCTCAAGGCTCTATGACTGTGTGTGGAGGTACAACTCGAGCGTTAATGAGTGGACAGAGGTGGCACCCATGCTGAAGGCCCGTGAGTACCACAGCTCCTCAGTCCTGGATGGGCTGCTCTACGTGGTGGCCGCGGACAGCACGGAGCGCTATGACCACACTACTGACTCATGGGAGGCCCTGCGGCCCATGACCTACCCCATGGACAACTGTTCTACGACTGCCTGCCGAGGCAGGCTCTATGCCATCGGTTCCTTGGCTGGCAAAGAGACCATGGTCATTCAGTGCTACCACCCAGACACAGACCTGTGGTCCCTGGTGGACTGTGGCCAGCTCCCACCCTGGTCCTTCGCCCCCAAGACTGTGACGCTGAATGGACTCATGTACTTTGTCAGGTGAGTCCCTGGGTGCCAACTTGCCATCTGCAGTATTTATACCAAACAAGGTCCTGTGCCAGGCACATCATGACTGCACTCCCCATTTCACAGATGAGGAAACTGAGACAGAGCTGGGATTGAGTCCAGATCTTTCAGACCCCAGAACATTTACTCTACCCCATTTCTTAGAGCAGTTTCCACGGGCTTCCTGGTTGTCCTGGTTATATGTTGTCAAGTATGTTGGAGTTAGGTCCTTTCAGAGAACTTTGTGTATGTGTGTGTGTGTGTGTGTGAGAGAGAGAGAGAGAGATTTGGGTGAAGATTTACAGAGCAAATTCATTTTCCATACAGCAGTTCACATATACTTTGTCTCATGACATTGACCACAATTTACCACAATGCAACAGCTCCCCTCCCATTTCCTCCCGATAATTACCTCTTCCTGTGTCCATCCCTCCATGCCCTCTAGTCCCCTGAGCTGTCTCCCTGTGCATAAGCAGCCCTTCTTTCTCCCATGATTGTTCTCTCCAAGGAGTATATCTACCTCAGGTAAATGTTCAACTCATATGCCTGTCTTTTACTTGGCTGGAAACCACAAGTGTGGGTTTAATTCCAGACCTGAAGGGCAGCTAGGGGCCATAGCCTCAGTGGTTCCACCAGGCTCTATCGGACCAGCAAACCTGGTCCCCCTCCCTTTTTTTTTTTTTCCCTCCAAATGATTTTTGAGTTTTACCCACATTGTTCTCCCTCTCTTTCCAGGATCTCCTACATAGATCCCCTTCCAAATGGTTGACATTGGTAGCCAGGCACCATCTAGTTCTTCTGGTCTCATAGTCATACAGGCTGCAGATTGGATGATGTACCAGTTGCTAGGACTGATTGTATCCATGAATTTTTGGTTTTCTTCATTCTTCTTTGCTCTGGACAGGGAGAGAACCATCGTTACATCTAGATGGCTGCTTGCTAGCTTTTAAGATCCCAGTCGCTACTTGCCAAAGTAGGAGGTGGAACAATGTTTTGTGTAGTATGCTATGCCAATTGAGCTTCATGTCCCCTGCAACTATGGTCCCGAGCCCACAGGTTCAAATACTCGGTCCCTCTGGGTACCTGGCTGTGACCAAACAGTGACTACCGTCTTGCCTCTTGTCAGCTCTACTATATACCTGGGAATTCAGATCATACACACAAACATTACAGGACCATTGTCTGCCAACCCTATACATGTTCTTGGGTACACTCCCCACTTCATAGACATGCCTACTAGTTCAGCCTGTCCACCCATCTGTCCACCCGTATGCCCATGTTTGCCTTCACTGACAGCGCAGTACTGTATGTGCAGAAGGGTTCATCTTTGTTGTCTGTACCTCCCACGTACCTCTCTGTCTTTCTCTTCCTCGATGCCACCATATTGATCACTCACATTTGGTACATTGCCCTTCTCTTCACCCAGATCAATACTTATCTTTATCAATCTAACAGAGAACTTTTTTGAGGCTTTATGGAAGTGAAATAAAACCATACCTCTTTGTTGGACTTCTACTGGGAGGATCCCATTAAGAGTCATACTTGTTGTCACATGACATCTGTTAAAAAGGAACCTGTCGTACCTAGAAGGGATTTTGAATTTGAAAAAGGCCAGAGAAAAGCTTGTTTGCATACTTGAGTGTGGAAGAACACACCCTTGACCCCCACTAACATTGAAAGCCAAGGATTTGTGGTCAGGCAGGTGGGGGACCAGCTCCCACCATCCTATGTGAAGCATCCTCATATATTGAGCCTGGATGGCACAAGCAGTTTGTGTTCAACTACTAACCGAAAGGCTGGTGGTTCAGACCCACCCAGTGGCTCCATGGAAGAGAGGTTGACAAACTGCTTCCATAAGGATCAGAGCCCAGGGGAACTCTGTAGCACATGGGGTTCACCAGGATTCAAGGGGCTGAGTCCATGACATGGGCTTGGGATTTTGTTTTTGCATGCCAAGCATTTCCAGCAGGTTCTGTCCTAGGGCTGAAGGGCAGTCTCATTCCCTTCTAGTCCTGCCACCTGCCAAGTCAGGGCCTGACATCAAGAGTGCTCATCAGTCTTTTTGGAATGAATGGTGTTTGCCAGGGGACCCACAGCTGCTGTTGACCAGGGAGAGGTCTGGTATTAAGCAGCTCCAGAGTAGGATTCTTGTGGGAACGATGACTCTACTAAGTGCACGCTGAGCCCATGTGTGTATGGACACAGGTGAGCTCTGTGATCCGCTCTCCATGTGTATGTCCATATTTGATTGCCATGACCATCTGATGAGCTGGGCACTACTGTTGTCTCCATGCACAGATGGCCAGAGGCTTAGGGTTAGAAGGATTTGTTGTCAGCCACAGGCTGGAAGTGGTGGTACAACTTTGAGCCAAGGATGTCCAGCCCATATCCTCAGGTATAATGTCACTATACTTACAACAGGGCCAGGCAGGAGGCAGCACAGAGTAAACTGTGATAGCCAGTAGTCACTGTGTATCTGCTTATCTTGAAGGCCTGTATGGTCATAGTCAAATGCCTTCTCCTTGTGGGTCAGTGGGGACCTGGGAGAGAGCTAGGGGCTCCCTGTCCACTGCACATAGCTTCCACGTGTGTATGTGTGTGTACATATACACACATATACCTGCTCTGTGTACATGTCTGTTATATATACATACATACCTACCTCCTGCTGCCTTCCCTGGCTCAGAGCCTGCTGATGCTCTGGTACCAGGAAGGAAGGAGGAGGTATGAATGACTGTCCCCTCTGTCCCCTTTTTGGTCTGGACTTTGAATTGGCACCCCAGTGGAGGCAAGCTTGTTGCCCTGGGCCCCCGCCTCTCAGTGTGAGCAGCACTGGTCTTTGTCTCCCAATCCTGGCCTGAGGCTCCTTGCAAGGAATAAGCTGGGCTTTCAGGGTAAACCAGCACCTTTGAGAACAATTGTAGAGTTGTTTGTCATGTAAGTAGCCAAGAGGCCTGGCGTGGCCATGTGCCAGGAGCCTCTGTTCAGCTCTGAAAAAGCCCTGGAATCTCAGCCAGCTCCTGAGCCTGTTATAAAACAGCCCCTGACCCTTTGCCTGCTGTCTCTCCGGAGCTGCCGAGGTATCCTCAGAGAGGGGGGTGGGGGTGCTATAAATACAGCTTATCAGCATGCCAGGGCCTTTGCCCCAGCCTCTCAGCAGCAGTTCCAGGACAGGTGTCTTTGAGAGTGTCCTTCCTATCCTGAGGTCCTGGAGCAAGACAGGCCTAAGGGCCACTCTGTCCACATCAGGCCTATCTACTTTCCTTCTTGGTTTGGGTCACCAGTCGGCTGCTGAACTGCCTCACCTGGAAGCATTAGGGTGTACCCCCTGCCTTGAGGGGCGGGTGGGAGGAGGCAGGCCCTAGTGTCTGCCCTGGTGGTCCTGGCCCCACCTCCCCAACAGCAACGGGCTGCAAACCATAGGCTTTCTTAGGGGAGTAGTGGACACCTGGCCTGAGTGGTTATTAGGCAGGCACAGTAGGGCCTGGGGTCAGAGCCTAGTGCCATTTGAGTGTTGGTCCTGGAGTTGTACCTGCTCACAGCACTTTGGTACCTTATGAGTTTTGGTGCAGTAAGCAGGTGACTCCTGGCCCAGAGTCCCCTTGCCTCTGGGCAGCTCCTTCCAGAAGGTGCTATCCCCAGGGAAGCAGCCAGTGTCATGAGGGGGCCACAGCCCCTCAGCGATCATACTCATTACTCCTGCCCTGGGCTCGGTCCCTCCCCCTGAGCAGTGCCCATTTTGGCTCCATGAGAGGTGGCTCCTTGGCTGGGATGCATCAGGTCCAGCTGAGGACGGAGCCTGGCTCCTCCTGGCTGCAGCTTTGCAGGTCTTTGCTGCTGTGGGGGTGGGAGGCCTGGGGAAGACAGCCTAGCAGGTTCCACTGTTTAATTATCATCATCGTTATGGCCCACAAATTAAGAATGCTAAAAGCATTCTTTGAAATATTTGGAGGGAAAATCAAAAGAAGAATGCTATTTTGTAACGTGCAAGATTGTAGGAAATTCAGATGCTGGTGTCCATAAGGAAAGGTTTGTTGGGACATATGTAGTATTTGCAGCTGCTTTTGCGCCATAACAACAGGGCTGAGTAGTTGCAACAGAGACTGTCTGGTGCACAAAGCCAAAAATACTTTTGGTCTAGTCTTTCAGAAAATTCTTGCTGACCCTTTGTATTGATATCCTAGGGCTGCCGTACAAAGTACCATGAACTGGGTGGCTTAAAACAACAGGAATTTATTGTCTTCCAGTTCTGGAAACTAGGAGTCTGAAATCAAGATGTCGGCAGGGCCATGCGCCCTCTGAAGGCTCCTTACCACTCCCCTAGCTTCTGGCAGTTCCCACCAATCCTGATGTTCTTTGTTTTTTGTGATTTGGGTGAAAGTTTACAGAGCAAATTCATTTTCTATACACCAGTTCATACACGTTTTGCTTCATGGCATTGACCACAATTGCCCACAATGTAACAGCTCTCTTCCCACTTCCTCCCTGTAGCCACCTCTTCCCTATGTCCTTTCCTATATATTCCTGCCCCTCTGACCTGTCTCTTTGCAAATACTGCCCTTCTGTTCCCCCATGCTTGATCATTCTGAGGTATGTATCTACCTGATGTAAATGTTCATGCTATGTAGCTGTCTGTTATTTGGCTGGGAGCTATGGGAGTGAGTTCAGTTCCGGACTTGAAGGGTAACTAGGGGTCATAGTCTCAGGAGTCCCATCAGTATAGCTTGCTCTTAATTACATCTACAAAGACTCTTTCTAGATTAAGTCACATTCATAAGTACAGCGGTTAGGACTTCAGCATATCTTTTTAGAGGACACAGTTCAACCTATAACACCCCAATCTATGATCATTATTATTATAATTCTTCTATTACCATTTTTTTCTAGTAGTAGTTTTTTTTTTTCAAGGCTGTCCCTTTGAGCCTTTTATTGCAGGGAAAGAAGGGTGTCGAACAGGCTGAAGGGTCCTGACTCCAAAGTGCAGGGCATTGGTGGTCTCTTCTTTTATGTAACTGTGGCTATCATACTGGGCAGAGGACATGGCAGTGAATGGGGCAGGCACTGGGGGCCCACAGTGGTGTTCAGGGCAGTGGATGAGGAGTGGTCCAGGGTACATAGGAGTGTGCAGTGGGGGCAGGAGGTCTGGTCTGGACTGGTCAGTCATGGAGGGTCCTCTGAAGAGGAAGCTCAGAATGGGAGGGATGAGTAGGAGACTTGGAGGGGCGAGGGCGGTGATTTCTTTGGAATCTGAGTTGGGACAGAACATGCTGTAAGTCCAAGCATTGTAGGAAGCCAGTCTGGCTGCAGCAAGGGGTTGGGAAAGCCATGTCAGTGCTAGGGGTAGAGAACCACTCAAGGATACAAGTACTCAAGGGGTATGTCCTTTGTGCTTGGGGAGCAAGGCTTTGGAGCCCTGGGCAGGGCCAGGCTGGCGTGAATAACTGGAGTTGGTGCCTGAGAACCAGGATATGATCCTGCCTAGCCAGTGGGGCTGCTAAGTGGCATCAGAGAAACCCAGCTGGCTTGAAGGAGCTGTGGTCAGAAGACCTCACAGGAAAGGGGCCTACAGTCAGCCCTGCCCTCCTCTCCTGCCCTTCCCACCAAGGATGCTTCTCCCCACTTTGACCAGCTGCTCCCTCGCTTCCTCCACAGGGATGACTCCGCAGAGGTAGATGTCTATAACCCAGTGAAGAACGAGTGGGACAAGATCCCATCTATGAATCAGGTGAGTTTCCCAGCATGGCGCATCTGACATATAGGCCAGACTCGTTTTTTGGCTGAAGTAGTATTATCATTTAATGAACAGTGGTGGGCAAGGCCCTGTGTGGAGCCTTTAAACCAATAAAACCAAACTCACTGCCATCGAGTCAATTCTGATTCATAGTGACCTCCTTTGGGTTTCTGAGGCTGTAAATCTTCACAGAAGTAGGTTGCCCCATCATGCTTCTGTGGAGTTTGAACCACTGACCTTCTGGTTAGCAGCCAAATGCCTTATCTGCTACATCACCAGAGCTCCTTGTGTGGAGGCGTTAGGGAGTGTTATCTCACTTGGCAGAAGGGGGTTCTGTTATTCTTGAGTTGCTATTAAGGATCAACTAAGACTTGGAGAAGTTAAGTAAAATCTGAGGCCCACAGAGCTCAGTTAGTTCATTCATTTGACCAGTGCTGGTTGAAGACCTGTGTATGGGTAGGCACTGTTCTAAGCACTGGGGACACAGCAGAGAACCAGACAGACAGAAGTTGTTGCCTTTATGGAGCTGACACCATAGTGGGGAGATGACAGTGGTCAGTAGTAGGATGCCCCATCTGGCATCCTGTGTATGTGCTAGGGGAGGGGACCAGGGGTACCAGGGTTGGGGAGGAAGTAGACTTGGCTATGTAGGCCTCACTGGTAAGTTGACTTTTGAGCAGAGACCAGATGGTATGCAGGAGTGAGCCATACAATTATCAGAGGAAGAATGTTCTAGCAGAGGGACCAGACCATGCAAAGGGCCTGTGGTGGGTGTTCTGGCATGTACATGGACCAGCCAGCAGCTCAGGGTGGCTGAGTGAACAAAGGGGCCGCAGAAGAGATGAAGTCAGACAATCAGTCTCTGAGTACTGACCCACTCTCACTGGCCTCACACCCAGGAACTGACCTTGGTCACGCATTTATTGAGTGCCTGCTGTGTGGTCTGAAACAGGACCCCAGGATGCTCAAACAGCCACAGAGAAGGTTGCTTGTTGGAAGGGAGAGAGAGAAAGTTGCTTGTGTGTGAGAGAGAGAGGAGTGGCTGGAAGGCTTGTCCATATTTGGCTACTGGGCATACATCTAGTCCTGCGCCCTGCTAGATCCTTCTTTTCCATCTTACTTAAAATTCCCAAACCTGTTCTCATGAGACCTCTGCATGGCTGATTTAACAGTTTGTGACATCCTAGCTTATCATTTTCTTTACATTTTACATACTATAATTTTATAATTTTCCCCACAATAGGCTACACATACTCATTGTAGCAAGTTTGGAAAGACTCCAGGCTTTGGGGTCAGGCCCCAGCTTTGCCTCTGTCAGCCAGGACAGTTTCCCCATCTATAAGGTGGAGAGAGCAGTAGTCCCTACCCAGAGGGATGTTGCAGAGAGAACGCAAAATAATCTCTTGTGTGGAACATGACCTACACCCAGGGAGACTCGGGCTGTGTCCACGGTGGCCACCTTGGCTGTTGTAGGGGAAGGATTACTCGCCAGTCCTAGCATGCTGTGTGACTGTTGGGGAACCTCCTGTTTCCTAGCTGTGGTAGGCAGCACATTAACGTATTCTAGTTGAGTTGTTCTCTGGAAAGTCTGCACGGTGTCGCTCCCAGTACCACACTCAGAAAGCGCCTCAGCTGCCCCTCCACAGCACTGACAACTCCCTGTTAGATGGATGCCTGTGGCCCAGCCTAGGTGAGGGCTCTGCCCTGCCCTGGGCCAGCCTCCTCTCATCTGTATTCTTGGCCCGCAGGTACATGTCGGGGGCAGCCTGGCTGTCCTGGGTGGGAAGCTCTACGTCTCCGGTGGCTACGACAACACATTTGAACTCTCGGACGTGGTGGAGGCGTATGACCCAGAAAGTCGGGCATGGAGTGTGGTTGGTCGGCTGCCGGAGCCCACCTTCTGGCATGGCAGTGTCAGCATCTTCCGCCAGTTCATGCCCCAGGTGCCCTCAGGTGGGCGGGGCTTTGAGCTGGACAGTGGCAGCCACGAGGTGAACTCAGGCCGGCTTCAGCCACCACAGAACCTGGACGATCTGCACTAGCCCTGGCTTGGCCCAGGGAGGGCCTCTGGGTGGGTGACCCAGCACCTGTGAGGTGGGCAGCAACCCTCCTTTGTGCACGAGGACAGGTTGGGCTCCCCAGGTGGAGTGTGGGCTCTTGGATCCACCACCTAGGAAGTTCCTGTGCATTTGGAGCCTGGAGTCTTGGCTGCTGGAGTCACAGCTAGTCACAGATGCCTCTCCCTTGGTCACAAAAGAGCTACCCCCTGCAGCACGTATCTGAGCCCCACCTGTGGGTCCTCAGCTCACCAATGCAGTGCATACTCCTCTTGCCACCACCACCTGTGCCTCCTTTCTCCGACTCAGGAGTAGAGGACAGAAGGTGGGGAGCAGTCCCGTGAGGAGCCTGAGAATGACTTTGGCCTACCTTCATGCGTATCCCCATTTGGGCCTGGTGCATCAGGGGTTGCAGACCCTGCCTACTGGGGGTTCCTCAGCTTCATGTCCAGTGCTGGCCCTCCCAAGGGAGGATCTGCTTGCCTAGTCTCTTGCCTAGCTAGGGTCTCCCACCAGAGCCCCTCTTACAGGACTGGGGCCTCTTGAGATGGGTGCAGGGCTGTGGGACTGAGCAGGAGGGTGACTTTGAAGGAGTCTTTGTGTCCAGAGCACATGGGCTGTGGTGGAGGCTGGGTCTCCCTCCCACAGCCCTGAACTGGCCAGCGTATCCTCACTTAGCATGGAAGCCTCTGCTGGGCCTGTGTCCCGGGCTGATGAAGAAGGGCAAAAATGTCCAAGTGCGAGGCTGTCGCTCTCTCTTGGAGGCCTTGGGAGTCTTCCCGAGCCCAGTCCAGCAAATGAGTGGACATTTTCACGCAGCTCCTGGGGCCCTGCGCTGACCCCTCACCATGGCTGCGAGTGGAAAATCCTGTTGCCTGTACAGGAAGCCTGGTAGAGGGGCTTGGGTGACTGACTCCAGGGTTTTCAATGTCTACAGTTCAACCCTTCCTTCAAGAAGGGGCCAGCTAGGAACAGGATTTTTTTTTTAATTATTTTTTAAGTCTTATCAAAGTGCCATTGCTGAAGCTTTCTTTGGGGCTGGGGTGATTTGAGGTTCCTTGGAAGCTCAGGGCCAGATCCAGAAGCAAGGGGCAGGAGTGCTTTCAGGAAACACCATGGGCTCAGGGAGTCCCTGGTCGTCCTCCCCATGGAGAGGGTGGTTTGTCTCCTCAAGATATCCAAAGTAGCCTTTGATTGGATTTGTCCTTCCTTCCTTCCTTCCTTCCCAGACATTCAGCCTGCACGTTCCTCATTAGTCAGCTGAAAGGAAATGTTTATTCGGTTGCCTATTCCCAGTGACCTGATTTTTGGAGCTGTGTTCTCACCAGGAGAAAAAAACATTAGTTTTAAGACCATCGCTTCACAGACTGCACTTAAAACCCTTTCGTTGGGATGGCACATCTGGGCCCAGGAGAAGCCTGATTGCCTGAATTTCTCCTAGGACTTGGTGTGTGTGGGTACCTGTTACGACACTGCCTGCCGCCTTCTGCATATTCATGAGGGGCCTCTGGCTGCTTCTTGGTTCTTGCCTGAAGTGAGGGTGAGGGAGGGTGCCTTCTAGAGCAGTCATTGCTCCCGCCCCCCATGAAGTCATTCACTGTCATTGCCCAGCTCCTGTGCGGTGTGCTGCCTGGCACTGTGGGAAGGGGTGGGATAGCGGGTAGGAAGTACCTGTGCCTGGGCTTGTATGTTGGGTCCTCTACTTTCTGGAGGTCTCTCCATCCCTCACTCCTGCTATGAGTCTGCCCTCCCCAGGTGAGTCAGGACTTGCCTGCCCTCGACCCTGTCCCAGCTGTGGTCTCAGCCCAAAATGGCTGATGCTCATTTTATGTCCAAGGAGGTGCATGGGCATTTTCTGGTCCCAGTGCCTGTCCAGCTGGTTGAGTCTACCCAGAATTTGTCCACACTCCCCCGCCGCCCAAGAGACTGTCTACCACTGTGAGGCTGACCTCCTTACAGGCAAGAGAAGCCTGGACTGCCCAGACACACACTTCTTCCCCTCAGCAGCAAGGGAGGAGGCCATTTCCTGCCTTTGCCACCTCCCCCCTTTCAGAATGATCAGGCCCTGAATATACATCAGTTGCAGAGCTTGGTACAAAGTCCTCCCACCCCCTGTAGAAGCTTACTATAGATGTGATAGCTGCTGGACCAAGGTCATTTCTAGAGGCCTGGGAGGCTTCCCAAGGGAGAGATGTTAGTCTGTCACACAGAAAGGGTTCCTGGTACCTGTCCTCAGAGAAGGCCCAGCAGGGATTGCAGCGGGTGCCAGGCAGGTGTGTACTACACTTGGAGTTATTTCCACCACCTCTAGACAGGCAGATGGTGGCTCTATAGAGGCCAAGGATTTTCCAAGGGCCAATGTAGGAAATGGTATAAAGCAAAGCTTTGTTGTGGGGACAAGGGTGCTTCACATGTTTTCTTGGTGATCCTTTTTTCCCCCCCTACAAAACCCTGGCTCACACAGTCACTTGAGTTTGAGACAGCTGTCTGGTGTCCCCTTGGGTAGCTTCCTGGTGGTGAGGGGCCTGGGCTGGACTGCAGGGTGACTAGTGTCTTGCATTCCTGCTCCTTTTGCTGACCACTTTCTGGAAACTGACTGCCATTTTACCACACTGGCTACTCAGTGGATGTTTTAGGGACAGGATGGGGCCAAGTTTGTGTCCCTCACCATCAGGAACTTGTCCTTCAGAAACTCCTGTTCCTCCCCACTTTCTACTGCCCTGGCTTCTAGGCTGTAGAGTCCCCACCCATTCAGGATGCCTGCACAGTGACCTCAGGACAGATACCAGACCAGGTGGGTATATGGCTGTCTATGTAGTGTGTACAGAACTTGATCCATCTACAAGGCAAGTTAAATTATGAAGATCCAGTGACTAGTATTTAATGGCGATCTGCTGAAGTATTCTCTATTTATATGGTTTCAGAGATTCTCTTACATAATGAAGGGCACCCTCCCTCCAGTGTCCACATCAAATTCCACCCCCGAGTGTGGGGCAGAGTTCTGTATTTATTTTTGTCTGTTCTATAGGCTTATGTGTCCAGAATACTGTGTATGGTTGTAGGATGCCTTCAGAATTTTTGAAATAAAAGTATTTCCTATAGATTTGATGTCACTGTGTCATTGCCTTTATCCTTATGCTAGGAATCCTCTGGGATTAGGCCTGACGTATAGGGTGAAGAGAAATAAAGTAGCAACAAAGTGATTTGGATCCTTCCTTGTCTTGGACATTACAAGGTGTGCAGTAGTGGAGAAAGGAGAGGCCATGCCCAGGCGACGCTGAGGGGGGCACATGGTTCAATCCTTGAAACTTCTAGGTGGGAAGCTACCACCTCATTTGGCTGGCAGGACCAGGCTCTTCAGCCTCCTGATCGCCCCTCCTAAAGCTGTATGCAGAATGGCAGTAAGCCCTCTGCAGTGGGGTAAACCTTGACTCTGGGAGGTGGAGCCCTTAAAACTGAAGACCCCCAAAACAAGTTGAGTCCACCTGTGCCACCAAGCTAAGGGCTGGTTTCCACATCTCCCTCTGTGAGCAAGATACAGTGTCAGCCTAAGCTAAGCGTCTGAGCTGGGATGGGGGGATGTCTTGAGGCTCTAGTTTGTTTTTTTAATACCCTTCCCAAGACAGTTCTGAAGCCACTCATATAACCTATATAGGAAAGGAAATCAGAAACCTGGTATGTCATTATTGTAACTGCATGCTGTCCTTAACTCTTAGTTTCCATTGATCAAGGAATAAAGGTGGAATCTGGACCTGAAGGAAAACCTTCAGACTCCAGGAGGAATTTAGTGCAGAAGTGAGGTTCAGGAAGCCACCAGTGATACACTTACGAACCAGACTCTAGCTGTTGGGGTCACAGCCATCACTGTTAGCATTTCAGTTTCCCCTTCAGCAGTTACTACGGTGGTGGGGCAGTTTTAAAAGCCCTCCCATAAAGTCCCCTCACCTTTGAGTTTGGAAAATTACTGTTCGGTGACTGCCTGAACCAAAGGCATATGGCAGAGGTGATGCCATACAACTTCTAAATCATACATGGACCTGGCAGTTTTGGCCTCCTGGAACCAAGCCTCCATGCTGTGAGGAAGCCCAGGCCCTGCCCAGCCCAAGCTGAGGTCCCAGCCAACAGCCAGACCAGAGCCAGCACCTACTTTCCAGGCAGATACATGAGCCACCTTGACAGCAGGTCCTCAGCCCCAGTTGAATTTTGGCTGGTTTGGTATATAGCAGCAGTAGGTAACTGGAACAGAAAGTTTCTCATTTAATCCCTGTCAATGACGTCGTCTTATTTACTCTATTAAAAGATGAGGGCATGGAAGCAGGCAGTGGTTAGTAACTTGCTGACAGCTGGAAGGAATTTAGGTACAGGTACCCTCAATGGTATGGGGCACCCACACCACAGCTCCCTGTGGATGGAGAACCTGGAGAGTGGAGCTATAGCCAGAGCCACCAAGACCTCTCACCCTCCTAGGCCTGGCCTTCCCTATGCCCCAAGCCTCCTGTATGAGCATCTAAGCTAAGACCTTTCCAAAGGGTCACTTCTGATGAGCATTTACCAGCCAGGGTCTGCTCTGCACTCTGGATAGGTTCAGCAAGGGCCCCACTTCTCCTCCAGGGCATGGGGGTGGGGGGAACTTGTTTAGTTGCCAGCTGGACCCTCCTCAGACCCGAGCATGATCAGTTACACTAACTGGCCTAAGTCTTGACTAGCCAACAAGGCCTTCACCAAGGGCCCTGGCCACTCATTTTGACTCCCAAAGGCTTAGTGATGATTTCTATCCCCACTAGCTGTTAACACTTCAACTATAAAACAGCAGCACTATATCCGTATCTGACTAATGCTCTCAGTCCTAATGTCCTAAGAGAATGAGGGACCAAAAAGATGTAAGAGGGTCCAGGGCCAAAAGGCATGGTGCCCAAAGCTTCCACCCCCTGACAAAGTGGGGAGAGCTGCTGGCTGAGTTCTGTGCTCTAGGAAGGTGAGGCAAGGCCCCATTTCTCCTCGAGGGCATGGGGGAGGGGGTGGCAGCTGGATGAAGGACTGCTGGCTATGCTACAACACCCATGTCCAAAGCCACGTGGTTTATTAGGAACTGATGGCAGGGCATGCTACGTGTCACAGTCCTCAGGGATGGCGGCTGTGATGAGAAGTGAGGGCTCCATGACCCCTGGGCCAGCAAAGTTTTCATCTGCACACAGTCTCTGGCCAGGAAGCTGGGAGGCCAGGCCACCCTGGGCCAGGGACTCCACAATCACCTCAGCTGAGCCCACCTCCAACTCAGCAGGCGGCTGAAGTGCCACCACTACCATCTTCTCGTCCTCGATGATCAGGTTCCGGAGCTTGCGCTGCCGTGGGTTGTAGTTCTCCACACGGTCATGGATCTCCATGTGTCTCCGCAGGTGAGCCTGAGATGGAGTGGGGAGCTCAGGACCAGGGAGAGGTAGGCCTGAGGTGGAGTGGGGAACTCAGGGCTGGAAGGAGGTAGACCTGAGGTGGTGGGAGCTCAGGGCTGGGGGGAGATGAGCATGAGGTAGATGGAGGGGGTAGCTCAGGGCTGGGGTAAGGTACCCCTGAGGTACAGGGAGTGGGGAACTCAGGGACGGAGGAGGTGAGCCTGAAGTAGAAGAGGGAGCTCAGGGTTAGGGAAGGTGAACCTGAAGTGGAGGGGGAGCTCAGAGGTGGGGATAGGTGAGCCTGAGGCAGAAGGGCAGCTCTCAGGGCTGGAGGGAGGTGAGCCTAAGGTGGAGGGAAGGGGAGCTCAGAGGTGGGGATAGGTGAACCTGAGGCAGAAGGGCAGCTCTCAGAGCTAGGGAAGGTGGGCTTGAGGTGGAGGGAGGGGGGAGCTCAGAGCTGGGGAAGGTTGGCTTGAGGTGGAGGGAGGGGGGAGCTCAGAGCTGGGGAAGGGGGGCTTGAGGTAGAGGAAGGGGGTGCTCAGGCTCAGCCCTCTGCCCTACCTGCCTGGTGAACTTGTAACCACACTCTGTACACTCGAACTTCCTCACTCCTTTGTGCCTCCTGACATGCACACGCAGTTGCTCCACAGCTGAAGGAGGGACAATGGCATGAGGAATCCTCTAGGAGATATGGGAAGTAGGCCAGGATCATGCCCTGAAGATGAGAGACTAGGAATCCCGAGGCCCAGAAACAGGCAGAAAGCGAGGGGGGCTGAGCAGTCCCCAGGGGTTCTTTCTGCCAGTCCTGAGGCCAGGGGTTGCTGACGACTCTATAGGACCCTGCCAAGGATCCACAGAACCACCCTGAGGTTGCTACTGCACAGCACCCTGGGAGGCCCTGCCCACCTGCACTCAGTCAAAGCAATCATGCTCAGTCATGTGGTGTAGAGGCCCCCACCAGCACACAGGTTCTGCTGCTGAGAGTGAGCGTCTAAAAACCACTGTTGGGCCTGGTCTTTCCCCAGAAAGCCCCCCACGTCACATCATAGGAAATGCAGGTGACCCTGACTTTCCCTAGGGAAGGGCATGAGTGGGTGACCTTCTGCCAACCCAAGTACCTTTGAAGGTTTTGCCACAGATCTGGCAGAAATGAGGCCGGCCCTCTTGGTGGCGGCTGGCGACATGCCTCAGGAGGGGCCCCTTCTCAGTGAAACGCTGCTCACAGAACTCGCAGCTAAAGGGCCTCTCACCAGTATGGGTGCGGTTGTGCTTGTCCAGACTGGCTGCAAGAACACATGAGAGTTTAGCCACCTGGCCTTGGCCCCAGGGCAGGGGTGAAGAGGGGCAAGGCCTGCCTCACCTTGGGTTCGGAAGGTCTTCCCACAGAGGTGGCACTGGAAGGGCTTCTCGCCAGTGTGTGTACGCAGATGCATGTTGAGGTTGGCCTTCTGGGTAAATGCATGGCTGCAGAACTCACAGACATACGGCCTCTCATTCCTGTGAGGGCAGGGACATAGGGCAGAGGTGTCAATGAGGGAAGCTACCCCCCTCACCCCCACTGCAACACTATAGCAGGGAGCACACCTAGACAAAGTCAAGGACGCAAGGCAAGGCTAACAAGACTGCCTGCACCCCTGGACCACGCCCAGGTTGCACTGTACCACCAGGCAGCAGGGGCCAGGACAGGGGCCCCATCTCCATCCTGAGTGGAAGGAAATGCCTATGGGGCTGGGAGTCACAGGACACAGGCATTCTAGGGTCCAGGAAGCACGACCGAGGACCAAGAATTTACCGAGATACAGAAACCTCTTCCCAACTTCTCTGCTTGGCAAACTCTTCCCCACCCTCCAGGACCCCAGGCCCAGAAAGGGAGCAGGCCCTGGATCTGGGGGTAGGGGAACATTCTCATCCCACAGGAGTATCAACAAATTGCCTTCCTGGCTAGCCGGCACGAACTCAGGAGCCAGGGAGAGAGAACAGGCTCCCGCACCTGTGCTTGGCCTTGATGTGCATCTGCAGGCCATTGCGGCTGGAGGCCCGGTGCCCACACTCCTCGCACACAAACAGCTTCTCACCACGGTGCTTGAAGGCCTCATGCAGCTGCAGCTCTGTCCGTGACAAGAAGCACTTGGCACAGGTAGGACACTGCCAGGCACAGGGGGCCAAAGCGAGGATAAGGATAGGGCAGGGCTGCCAAGAGCACCCAGTACTCCTCTGCCACCCAGCCAGCCAGCCATTCTGGACACAGTTCCAGTGGCCTCACTCCTGCAGTCCCAGTGTCAGAGAAAGCCCAGCCCAACACTTACAGCATGGGGCTTCGGGGCTCCATGCAACTTGATCATGTGGCTCTGCAGGTCCTTCTTCTGCATGAACTGCTGGGAGCAGGAGGAACACTGGAAAACAGGTCCCCAGGCACTTCAAGACAATGATGGAAGCCTAGCCACCCCTGGCCATTGAGGCAGACACCGGAGGGCAGGGCCTGGCCTAAGATGCAGGGAGGCTCACCGGCCTGGTGTGAAGGAGGGGCTGGGGGCACAGTGCTCAGCTGCCCAGCACTATGCTCATGGGGACATCGGGCCTGCCCTCCCCAACAGTGAGGCCAAGGTATAAGGGCACTGGATGGGCAGGGGAGGCCTTGGTAGGAGGAGCCCAAGGGCTGCACCCAGGCCCAGAGGCTCCTTTCCACCCACACCTCGTAGACCAGGTCTAAGCCTGACCTTGTAGGGCATCTCTCCCGTGTGGGACACCATGTGCACCCGTAGTTCCATCCTCCGGCGGAAGGTCTCCTGGCACACGGAGCATGTGAAGACCTGGCAGTGTGAGGGGCAAGCAGGGCCGGCATCAGGGGGCGCCTCTGCCTGTGGCGGCAGCCTCTGCCTGGGCTTCCACTTGCTGCTGGGAGGAGTCTGCCTGGGGGTGGGGGGGACGCTCGGGTGGGAGAGGGCAACACATAACCTGCCTGCCCTGACCGCTGCCAAGCACTGCAAACCCACCACACCAGGCCCTTCTTGTGCCCAGACAGGACTCTGTGGCCAGTGGTAGGGAGGTGGGCCAGAAGGCCTTTCCAGCAGCTGCCCCCTGTATACATACCCCTTCCCCAAAGTCAAGGTGCAGCTAGGCCCAGGACCTGGACAGGCACACCCAGACTGCCACCCAGAGTCCCTCTTGGGCTTATCCCTATAAAGCCAGGCCATGGATCGGATGGCCATCTGTGGCTCTCCTGAGTCTACAGCCCCATCTGAGACAGTTTCCAGGCCAGCGCACCTGCTCACAAAACTGGGCCAGCCTTCAAATACCTGTTCTGAGCGGTTCATGCAGTTCCGGGCTTCGTGCTCCAGGAGGTTTTCCTTCCGGAAGTAACACTTCCCACATTTGGGACACTCAAAGGGTTTCTCCCCAGTGTGTTTCCTGCCGGAAGAAGCCATAGGAGGGTTGGGAGTTGAGGGGGCTTCTAACCTCTTTTCCACAGTGCCCCATGGCTTCCCCAAGACCCAGTGGGTGATGACCAGCAGACAGGAGGAAGAGTTATCCTGAGATCAGCTCAGGTACACAGGCTCCATCAGACCCCAGGAAGCCCTTGTTGGAGCAGGCTTCTTTGATCTGAGCTGGGAAACTTGTGTGGCAAGCTCAGAATGACCCTCACTGGAGACCCTGCAGAGCCAGCAGATGTAGTGGAAAGTAGACCTCAAGTGCCACTTCCTCCAGCTTCACCAAGTGGTCACCACCAACCTAACCACTACAGAGGCTGAGGGAGTGGCCCAGTGGGCCTGCAAGCTCTCGTCAAAACAGAAAGAATCCCTGGGTCCTAATAACCTAGACAAACAATTCAATCTGCCCAGAACTTCATGAGCTCTACCTTCAAACCATGGCCAGGACTGACCACTGCTCCTCACCTCCATGCACAAGCCCCCCCAGTGTGGCCATGAGCCTCCTATCTGGTCACCCTTCTCCCACCCCTGGCTCCCCAACAGGTATAAGCTTCAGTAGTTAGGGGCTTCCTTTAAGCCACATAGCATCACTTTTCTGCTCAAAACTCTCAAGGGCTTCCCCTTTCATTCTAAAGGGCCTCGTACAGCCCACAGGTACACTGCCTACACCAGCTGGCCTGCCCCTTCCCTCACAGCCTCATATCCTAGGTCTCTCCGCCTGGCTCCCTCTGTTCAACATACCAGGCTCACTCCTACTTTAAGGCCTTGGTTCTGGCTCTTCCCTCTGCCCAGAACACTCTTTCCTCAGTTATCCACTCAATTTCCTTTGTTACCTCAAGTCTGCTCCAATCTTACCTTCTCAATGAATCCACCCAGACTGTCTCTATTTAAACATGCAACCAACCCTACCCTGAACCCTCAGCCCCCGGCACTGCTCACTTTTTCTTTTCTGTAGCGCTTATCACCTTCCATCCTACTGTTCGGCTTCCTTATTTGCTACATTTGTCACCTGCATCACCCTGCTGGAAGGTAGGCACCACAAGGGATTTTTTTGCTCACTAATGTGTCCCAAGTGCCCAGAGGAGTTTTGTCTGCTCCTTAGCAGATGGTCTGTCAAATGAACTAAATGAACCCTGCCTTCAGGGCTTTCCCACAAGCAGCACCAAGACAGGTTCTACCAACCTGCCAGAGGCCAGATGCTTTGCTTATCTTACTGCCATGTCGCCTGTCCTTGTCCCCCATCCCAATGAATCCATCACTCCCCTCTCAGTTCCCCAGGCCAGTCCAGCCACCTGAAGCCCAAGACAGGGACAAGGACAGTGCTGCTCCCCTAAAGCCTCACCCTGGGTGGGGGAGCAGGGCACCCAGGAGAGTAACAGGCAGAACCCAGACTGCCCTAAGCTTGCCCCCACAACAGGATGTTCATGAGACTCCCCTGGCAGCAGCTGCCCCATTACAGAGCATGCAGGTACATACGTAGGTCCCACCCCAGCACCAATGCCCATCAACTATAGTGGCTTCCTAAGTGTTACACTGAGAAAATGTGTGCCCAATCTGGCCTGGTTACGAAATAGTACTGTGGGGGACCAGTGAGGTCATGGGCTAGGGCACTGGAAGGCATGTCATCTAACTTGCCACCCCTGGGGGCCCTGCAGAGACTCTGGAGTAGCACTTTCCAAAGAACTCTGTTGTTGTTGTTATGTGCTGTCGAGTTGGACCTGACTCATAGCGACCCCTCCTTGGGTTTCTGAGGCAGTATCACTACGAAGTACATTGCCCCAGCTTCCTTCCGAGTGGCCAGTGGGTTTGAACTGCCAGCCTTCAGATTAGCAGTCAAGTGCCTTAGGCACTACGCTACCAGAGCTTCTAAAGAACTCTACAAAATTGGCTAATACAGATACAGGGCATTTCCATTACTGTAGAGAAAGAACTCTACAGTAAAGGAAATGCCCTGTATCTGTATTAGCCAATTCAGTAGCCAGGAGTCACATATGGCTGCTGAGAATTTGAAATGCAGCTAGTGTACTGGAGGAACAGAATTTTTAATTTAACTTAATTTTAACTTAAAGTAGTCAGACACAGTTATCGGCTACCTTATCGGATATTGCAGCCCTAGACACATGGTCTTTTCCATGCCACTGAACCTGTGTGTATACCTGCATGCTCTGCTCTGGGGCAGCTGCTGCCAAGGGAGTCTTGGGAACATCCCAGCATGAGAGGAAGCTTTGGGTGGTCTGTGTTCTGCCTGGACTCTCCTGCTCTCCTGGGTGCTCCCCCAGCATGAGACTCCAGTGCAGACTAGCATTTCCTAGGAAACATGGGTAGCACCTACCCTAAAGATCAGCACCGTGGCCCAAAGCCCAAGCGTGAAGCTTTAAAGACACTGAGCCCCAACTCAGGACCACTCACTACTCTCATCCTCAGAAACCAGGTGTGGGTAAATTTCCACAGTGGGTGGAACAAGGTGTCCACACAACCATCCCCAGTCCCAGGGCTGTGGTTGGAAGGAGGCGGAGGAAGGACTCTAACCAAGATGAGTTTTCAGTCTCTGATGAGCAGAGACGAGCCAAGGCCAGCACTCTGCAGGTCTGAGAGGGAACTTCAGGTTCTACATGGCCCAGAAGGGGAGGGTATGTAGGCCCCGCCCCCAGTGACAGAAGGGAAAAAGAAACAGAAAAACAGAGTGTTTACCTGTTGTGGACTTTTAAATAGTATTTGCTGAGGAACTTTTTGTGACAAGTGGGGCACTCGACTGGCCCCACTGTACCTCTTCTGTTCTCAGCAGGCTCAGCCACTGGGGAGCCTGAGTCCATGGCTGGCTCTGCTGCACAAGCCTTTGTGATTACATTGGATTTCCTCTTGGCAGGCACAGTCTCAGGCTCAGAAACGTAATCGCCTTCCCCATCCTCCTCGACTTGGACCACCACTTCCCACTAGAGCAGAAAGGCAGCAGGAGAGACCAGGGTCACCACAGAAATCAGCAGGGGGGCTCAGCCCCATCTCCATTCTAGGCACCAACCTAGATCCATCCTAGAGTCCCCTGGTCAGTGACTTTTCCTTCAGGTCCCAGGGAAGGCAGTGGTTGTGTTTGTGGGAACTGGAAGCCTGGAGAAACACCCAGGCCCCTAATGCAGCTCACTGCACCCCAGGAAACCAGCCACCATGGACAGCTCTAACCCGAGGCTGCAGGGTGAGCGGCCTACCTAGGTGTGCAAAAAGCTTTCTGTCTCAAACCCAGGTAACAGTGGTTCTCCCGTGGGGTCCAGGTGTATACCAAAAAAGTGTCAGTCTTTCCCCGCTACCTCTGACTCCCCATTCCCAGCAACCCTGGGCATAATACCTCATGACTCCCGCCCTGCAGCTGGGCACCTTCAGCCTCAAAGGGCCTTGGGGGCACTTTGCAGTCCTCAGGCTCCTTGTCCTCTGAGGAACCAGGCTTCAAGGCCTGCTTGAATTTCCCACAGAGAAAGGAGGGGCTCTCACTCTGAGCAGGGGGGCCCAGTGGGGGCCTCTGAGGACTAGGACTGTTGCTGGGTTCCTGACCCCTGGAGGCCTGACCCAGAGTCCTCACAACTTCCTCTTCCCCCAAGGCAGATGGCTCCTTGAGGCAGCTGCTTCCATCCTGGGAGGCAGGTTTCCCCAGCCCACTCTGGCCACTTGGGGCCTGTCCCACCAAGTTTGGGGGCTTGAAGCTCTGGCACAGCTCCACAGCCTCTGGCACTCGTAACTCTCTGGCTGCTAGGAGCAACTGATCTCGGTTCCCGGAGGTGAGGGCAAGGTGACCAGTGTAGAAAAAGTCCAGCAAGAGGCCAAAAATCTCAGCAAAGCCGGCAGGGAGGACAACATTGCCCCCTGAGCCATCCCCATAAAGGCTCTGGAAGAAGTGGCTGCAGCAGGCAAGGACACTCCAGTGTGCTTTGAACACCAGGCCCCCCACGTCCAGAGTGGCGTCGCAGTACTGGCCCTTCTCCCGCTGCTTGTTGAGCTCCTGCAGGACCCTCACGCTGTGCTGCACGAAGGAGCCGTCCATGGTCTGGAGGGGAGGAAGGAAGAAGGAACACCTGGAAGCCAAGCTGAGGAGAAAGCCCCTGCGTGTAAAAAAGGGGCGGTTTGCTCTAGTCAAGCATCCAACGGAGCGAAGGCCTGGGTCAAAGTTAGAGGGTGCGTGATGAAAACAGGAAGACTGAGTGCCTCTCGGGAGGATGTGGGGGGGGGGGCAGGTGAACGGCCCACAGTGGGATGGCCAGAAAGGATAGGTGACAGGGGCTGGGGCAGGAAAAGCATGACAGATAATAGAAGACAGGGTCTTGAAGAGGTGCTGCTCGGAGTAATTAAAGTCTGGGGAGAGGAGACGGAGGGAGAGACGCGAGGACACCAGCCGGGAGGGGCGACTGCACCTCCAGGTGAGCAGACCCCACGCCGTGCCCACAGCTCCGGGGCGGCCGGGCTGAAGGCGCCGCAGTCACAAGTCCATTAGCGGCCACGGAGGCCCGCTCCCTCCTGCCCTCACCCTGCGCCCTCCTCACCTGTGCGGTCCTCCCCGTGCCAGCCCCACTGCCCGGTTCCCGTAGCCTCCAAAGGCCCCAGACCAACCGCTCGGTCCTTTCGTGCCCAGCCGACCGTGCGGAAACAGCCGCTGTCGATGCCGCCGGACGTGACGTCAGGGCGCCACAGCCGGGGCGGGAAGCCTCGAAAGCGTAGGGCTTCTAGGTCCCGCCCCTGGGAACACGGCCACTCAGCGAACGACCAATAGAATGCAGAAGAGGGCGAGGCCATACAAGTTCTTTCGTTGCAGAGGTCCGCCCCCCGGAGTTGCCTAGTAACACCAAGCTGGACGCTGGTCTCTGGCTGGCCTCAGGGTTCTCCAGCCAAGGCACCCCTAGACGTGAAAAAGCCACGCCCCACCCGTTCCCTAGAAAGGAAGCGTAGCCAAGACCAAGACACGCATTTCACCCCTTTATTATGACAGAAGAAAATTTCTGTGAGGCTGATTTCTGTCGAGGCAGAGGTTAGAAACACCTCCTTTCTAACCTTTTTATCAATTCTGACACCAGGCATCCCTCCCACAGCACTCTCTACTCTGCTGGGTTCGTTAATTCATTGCAATGGCCACACAGAACTCACAGATCCTACTCGTAATTTTGAAGTTTATTAGGGAAGTAACAAGGTAAATTTAGGCTCAAGAATGACTCAGGATGTAGTTCTTTGATCAGGATAGTTCTTTAGCTCCATGATAAGTACCCAGAGGCACCCTACTCCATCAGGAAGCTTCCCATCCATTCAGCTCTCTCTTGCTTCACGGGTGGGCAAGATTACTGTAACTGCCTCCTCTGTGGGCCAGGAAGCCCACTGCACTATCTCATGTCAGTCTCAGTGTGAGGTTACTCAGATCACACCATTCAGGTTAGCTGCAGTTATCTGCCTGATCTGGTCACCTTTTCCAAAAGTTGTTTCAGCTTCACCCTTCCTGGCATCTTGATTGAATTTAAATGAGAGAATATGATTCCCTTGCTCTGAGCCTTGACAGGTATCAGCATAGCAAAATATTTTTTCTTTTTTTTTTAATTGTGATTTGGGTGAAAGTTTACAGAGCAAATTCACTTTCCATACAGCAGTTCACATACACTTTGTCTCATGACATTGACTAC